CAGGATAGAGCAGGGTTTAGGGCTGTTGTGCATAGGGTCGCTATGAGTTGCAAATGACTCAACGGCACATAACAACAACAAGGCAATGACTACTGGCCCCAACTGCAGAGGGCTGGGGAGTTTCTATCATGGATGCGGTGAGCATGCCCATGTTAAATACCATCATGCCCTCCACCCTGCTCCTGTGATCACCCCTGAGAGCCTGGGGCAGGACAGAGTACACATCAGTGTCCTTCTAGCTTTGGGGTCCACCCATTGTCGATTGCCCAACCAGAGCTTGGCCAGCTCATGTCCACCCTCAGCATCCCCAGACAACTTGTCTGGGAGCCAGCCCTACCTTGACTTCCTGGTCAGTGGTGGTTACAATGCCCTCCCTCATGAACAAGCCATAGTCTTCAAAAAACTTGGCATACTTCTCTGGGTCCTTTTTACTTTGGTCCACAAAGAACTTTATCAGCCTCTGCTGCAGGACATCTCGGAGTTTTCTAAGGGCGGAAGCACACTTAATGTCAGTGAGCAGCTTTCCAATGCCACCAATGGGTAGAAGTATACATGACAAGGGTCAGCCTCACTGACCAGTGAAAATAATATTCTGGTCTTCCTAAATAGAAAAAGACCTAAAAACACAGCAACCCTGTGTCCCACAGCAAAAAACCTGGCCCAGTCCTATGTTAGCCTCCCAGGCTCTGCTCAAGCTCACTGCTGCAGCCATATCAATCTACCTCCTGGTAGATCTTCCTCCTTCACTGACCCTCTACTTTAGCAAGCATCCTGATAACATGCCCAAAGAACATGAGATGAAGTCTCCCTATATAGGACACAGAGCAAAAAGGGGTGACAATGAAGTGCACCCCCAAGTGGCAGGAACACCAATGACACTCTCTCCTGGGGGTCTTCTGCCAAGGCAACACCAAGCTACGAAAAGGCCCTAATTTTTGAGCTGGTGGTCCCAGAGGCATGACTGCACTGCAGGGGTGACCACAAGGGCCACAGGGACCTATAGGCCAGGCCTCTCCTGACTAGCCCCTAAAACAGCCTGACTGTGAACCACCTCAGAGCTGTGAGAGAAGCTGAAAGAGCCAGACAGCCCTGAACCCAAGTGCACAGACCTAGTGGGAAGAACAAAGAACTCCAGTTGGAAAAACTACCTGACATACATACAGCCCACTAGTCTGCACACTCCTTTTCTCACAACAAACTGCCACAATCCAAAAGCTTCTCCAAATCCACCTCAGTGCCATGGCTGCATTCCCCAGCTGTGGGACCTTTCTCATTCTTTGTTGGGTTGCTCCTCCCTTATTAACATCAATTTTATTGCCTCTAAAGGTTTCTATCAAACATTTTGAGTTGATGTCAGTTTGACAGCACACATGCCATACCACGCCCACACACCTAAGTTTGGGATTTACACAGATTATTCTACGAACTGACTGCCACAGAGCTGAACCCAGGTCAGAGATCCTATATAACAGGGTTGAACTGTCCCATGAGGTTCCAAGGCTTCATGTATTAAAAGCACTGCCTGTCTCATTCCCTCATGGACTGGATGGTGGACTGGAACCTCAGACCTATGTATTAGCTATGCATCAGGGCTCCTGCTGATTGTTATACACACACTGAAGGATTCCAAAACTGGGATTCTATTGGTCAGGATGATAAGCAATCTTATTAGCGGGACATCTATTACACACTGGCCTATTAAGATTAGAGGTTTGAATCTACTTTTTCAACAAGAGAAAGACCAGCATTCTCATCAAATATATGAAAACTACAACATGTGCTGAAAGGCGACTGAGTCTTGCCAGCCAGAGCACCCCTCTGTGGTGGCTGATGAGTCACCGTGTCCATGGAAGGCATGTCAGCAGGATTTAAATGCCAGCAGGGTCACTCCTGGTGGACAGGTTTCAGGGGAGGTTCTAGACTAAGTCAGATTAGGGAGAAAAGCCTGGCACTCTCCTTCTGGAAAATGCACACACTATGGCCAGGTCAACCCTGATACACAGGGACCAGCCCTACACAACGGGTCCCAAAGACACAGATCTCCACAGGAGCAGACTCTCGTCTTTTCCTCAATGAGTGGCAGGTAAAGATTCAAACTGCAGTCTATTAGGGCTCCTGAAAATTAGCAATGATATTCTTATGTGTCGAAACAGAGTAAACTGAAGCCCTAGGTTGGAGAGCACTGAAAATACACAGTGGCTAGCAGCAATGGACTTAAAGATGCCAGTGACTGTGAGGAAACGCAAGCCCAGGCAGCATTCATTCCTGGGAGTCAGTGCCAAATGAGTAAGGTCAGCTGTTGACTAAGGGCAACATCAAGAGAAGGACTCTCTGTTGAGGGACTGGACAATATTATGAAGATGGAAATAATGGCTTTTTATTTAAACCACATTAGGGACAAGTAGAGACATCTGCATAGGCTGAGGGTCAGGTGGTAGTGGCAATGTCAATACTAAGTTCCCAACTTTGGTGGCTGTGCTATAGCTATGAGGAGAACATCCTTGCTTGTTCAAAACACAGGCCATCCCCAGGTTAGGGACAACAAGTCCTTGTTTTGTGTTAATGTAAATTTGCCCTCGTTGTGAAATGAAAGGGTCCACCTCTTACAAACCCCCAAGCCCACCACAGTCCAGCTATGCTAATTCATAGCACCATGGGAGACAGAAGCTGCTCCACAGGGGCTGCAAGCCTGAGATCATCACCAGACTGCCAGCATTTTCCTGCAGAACAGCTGGTGGTTTAAACTGCTGCAACTGGAGCTGGAGTGGGAAGCGCAGGCAGAGTGCCCAAGCCTTTGGCACAGGAGGACGAAAGCCTCTGCTGGGGGCCCTCAACATCCATCCAAGACCTGCAGGAGTGAGCTGACCCAATCCACGACAGAGCCTCTCCCTGGTCTACACTTCAGTCACCGTCCTGGTTCCAGAATGTATATGCATGCCTTCAGGCTCACTGGGATCCTCCTAAGCCATAGTATTCCCCAGGCTCACCTGATGAGGGCACTCTCCTGAAGGAGCTCCCGGCTCAGGTTCAGAGGGATGTCTTCACTGTCCACCACACCTAGCAAGACACAGAACATGAAGTGCCTGAGCTCAATGTGTAGCCACCCACCAGCTCCTCCCATTCAGACAGGCCTGTCATTGCCTGAGCAGACTGTGAAAGTGGATCATGTGTGCATACCACGGATGCAGGAGGATAAACGGGGAGGAGTAGGGCATGGACTGAATTGTGTCCCCCTCAAATATGTGGAGTTCTGATGAACTAACTAGTGGTAAGAAGTTGCTCTATCAATCCAAATAAATGGCATATGAATCCACTGGAATCCATTTTACAAGAGATAATAGTGGGTGTGCATTTTGAGTCACTTAAGGCACGTGGTTTGTATGCACCAGCTGCTCTTCTGGAGAATGCTAGGCAATCTCCTCCTATCCCTTTTACTGCCTCTGAAAACCTGCTGGAGAGTCGGCTATAAGTTGGTTTCAACTCAATGGCACACAACACAACAAAGAGATTAAATTTCTCTTAGACAGCTAAGACAGGGTATCTGAGGGCAGACACCCCTTGAGGTTAGGATGTACTGCCTTGGGGATTGCAGCTCAGTGTCTTGGCACTAGGCCACCAGAGCTGCCTGAAGTCCTGCTAGCCTGCTTATATCCTGGGGCCAGTGTGGATGCCCAGAGAAGATCCCAAGCTGCAGGGTGAACAGTCTGTCCCAGGATCAGCTGCTCAGGTTCAGAACCAATCTGACACTCAGACTGCATACGTCCATAGGAGTCTTTTCTCCATTTTCTTCTTTGACATCTTGGATTTCATGTGAATAATCACAAATACAGCATGGGTATTTTGCATCTCTGTCTACTAACAGGAGATAATTTTCAACGTGAAATTCTTTAGAGCCAAGTCCTTCTTCCAAATGCTTGTGGATGGACCTGAACTTCCAACCTTTTGAATAGGAGCTGAGTGTTAACCACTCTCACTATCCAGAGACTCTGTAATAAATCTGATTATAATCTCACTCAAACTAAAGGCAACTCACCAACAAATATGAAACATCTGCAGTTACGAAAAACTGAAAGACCTTAGTTTGGGCAGGCTGCATCACCAAGCGTCATCAGGCGTGGCCCAAGGAGCCTGGGGTGTGGCCACACAAAATAGGTGGTTCTGCAAACATTCAGGCAGAGATACTGCTGGGCCAAAGGCTGTGGCCACATGCCCTACAGTGGTTTGTCTGAATGACCTGTGGCCAAGGTCAGCAAAATGCCTCCTAGCTTCAGTCAGTGGTTCCCACGCTGCCCCTAGTCCAGTGACTGCCCCGTACCACGAATGAACCGTAGCCATTTGGGCAGAATATCAGCAGCCTTGGTCTGGATGAGGACTTTGCGGCTGTAGAGGGCGACACTGGAGCCCAGCTCTCGACTCACATCGAACATGGACGGCTTCTATGGGCAAGGAGACAGACACTGGTCAGACTGTCAGGCAGGTAACCTCAAGTGCCAGCCACCTGAACGGGCCTGGTTTGGCAGTGTGGTGGACAGGGAGTACACTCAGAGGGTGTAAGAACAGTGGTCTGGACTGGATTTCTTCCAACCACACCCATTATGAACCCTAGAGGGCACCTGCATAGCTCCACTGGACGGCCCTCCAGGGCTTCTCAGGGCACCTGCCCTGTTCAGGGCCAGGCCCTCTTTAACCCATGTTCCACAGAGAACTAAGCAGTGACATGCATGGCCACCTGTCTCAGGGCCCACCTCAACACAGGTCAGCCCACTGGTCAAACCTGTTTATGAGCTGAGAACACCCAGGTTTGACATCACCTAAACATCCCCTCACGGCCTATGGAAAGCTAGGGATCCCTTGGCCCAAGAAACGCTTTCTTCTAGAACACAGTCCCCCTAGACCGTTGTGCTGCACCCTCTCACTGGGGCCAGAGTCTCCTGGCCTCCATCTTGCTGACGCCTGGTTCTCACCTCTCAACCTACTCCCTGGACCAGCTGCCACCTGAAAAGCATTGACCTCTTCCCTGGGTGCCCCCTCCTCCTGGGCTGTCTCTGTGTCCCAGGCCTCTGTATACTGAGCTCTCTATGTGAGCATTCTCCTACCTCCTGAATCCTACCTTTAGGCTGTATTCTCACCCCAGGTCCCACCCCTATGTGGCCGCACCACCAGAGCCCCACTTAGGCACTGCATTTCCACCCCAGAACCTGCCCCTGCAGGCCTCAGGCCTTGCTCCTGAGCCCCACACTAGGGGCTAGCCTTCTATTCCTCGTCCAGCCTTCATAAGCCACCCTGTCCTCAAGCCCCATCTAATGGGCTAGCATCTCATCCATGTCCTTGTCTCCTATGGGCTGGACTTCCACTCCAGGTCCCGCCTCCCAGGTGGTCCCATCTCTTGTTTCAACCCAACACCTCACCATCTCTGGGACATAGAAGATGCTGCAGATGTTGAGGGGTACATCAGTCCTATAGTGCAGTGTGTAGCGAGGCCTGTCGGAGGCTTGGGCAATGTATCTGTAAAACTCTTCATGCTGTTCTGTGTCTACATCCTTGGCTTCCATCATCCAGATGGCCTGTGGTGGAGACCCCAGGGTCACATAATCACACACCTCACCCAACAGCACATGGACAGGAGTGCTGCCGGTAGCAATTGGCCCCAGCAGCAATTCAGATGCAACTGTGTTTTCAGTCCAAGTGCCCACTCCTCTCCAGCAGCCCATTCCAGCCCCATCAGGTGTTTTGAGAAATGTAGAGGATGGAAAGAGTATAGCGATGGGGACAAAGAAGTTCTAGGCAGCATACTCCACCCCAGCTTAGGTATCAAGCAGGAGCCTGGTACCAATGTCCCTGTACTAAGAGATCTTGTCCCTCCACAGGAGACACCTCCCTCTGGAAAACAACATCTTCTCCACCTATCATGGGAACCAGGAGGGCCCTCTCATCTCTCCTCCCTCCTCCACATAGACCAGATCCCCCTCTCATTTCTGCCCACTCCTCTACATGGACCAGATACTGCTCTCATCTCTTCCCCCCTCCTCCACAGGCCAGATCCCACTTTCGACCCATCTGGGAACCAGGAAGACCCCACTCATCTCTGCCCACATTGACTCCTCCTCCACACTGACCAGATCCCCACCTCATCTCTGCTCCCTCCTCCACATGGACCAGGCCTCTCTCTTCTCTGCTCCCTCTGTCCTGAGTATCAGGCCACTGAACATCTCACCTGTAGTGTGTTCATGCGCCTTCCATTGAGGTATAAGGGGAAGCTGACAAAGTTACTGTACTTGGTTACCACATCTGTAGAGAACAATGAAAATAAAAAAATGCCTTTTGAAGACATGTCATTAAGGTCAGCTCCAAAGCGGGCCTTGGGTCCCCCGCCAGTGTCACAGCTAATGAAAACGCATGTCCGTGAGGCCTCACCCAAGTCTGTCATGGTGCCTGTAACCAGCCCAAAAAAGAAACAGACATAATTGGCCCAGGGGATCCCTTCCCAAATGTCAGCACCCTCGGTTCTGGGCACATCTGTCTGTAGCCTGGGGATCCCAGTCCCAGCTGTCAGCAACCAGGGCTCAGAGGCAGGTCCATCTGTACCCTAGGGAACCGTCTCCTGATAGCAACCTGGGCCCAGGTGCACATCCTTATGTACCCTAGGGACCCCCCTTTCCCAGCTGCCAGCACCCTGGACTCAGAGGCATGTCTGTCTCTTCCTAGGGAATCCCCTCCTGGCTGTCAGCACCCTGAGCTCAGGGGCACATCCTTATGTGCCCTAGGGACACCCCCCACAGATGCCAGCACCTTGGGCTCAAATGCATATCTGTCTGTACCTAGAGAACCCCCTCCCAGCTATCAGCACCCTGTGTTCAGGAGCACATTCATCTGGCTCTCCTGGTGGAAGTGCTCAAACCACCAGTTTAGAAAAGACACAGAGACGGAGCAGGAGCAGCTGCCCTCCCCGTTCAACCACTGAAGAACCAATAGGAATGCTGACATGGACTGACCTGTGGCCAAACCCAGAAAACCCAGGCCTGCTGGCAGAGACCCATGCATGCTGTCATCCAGGGCTAGGGTTCAGTATAAGATGCTGCTTGCCCATCTAGAGCTCACCTCGAACCCGGGCCTCACTGGCAAACTCTCTGCAGTCAGACTTCAGGTGGATAATTATTTTGGTCCCAGGTTGGACTCCAGCCGCCTCAGCAACTTCAAACACTCCAGAGCTAAGAAGTCAGGAAAAGGAAAGGCCCGGTCACACACCACTGCCCACAAACCCTCAGCAGTCACTCTATAGTCACTTCCCCTCAACTTCCAAATTCAGAGCCCACAATACACACTGTGAGGGTAGCCAGGCAGGTCATCAAACTATGGCAGGACAGTGATGACCAGAATGCAGGCACAGAGGGCCCCTGCCTCCTCACTGGAGAACCTGCATGTCAGAGCACAGACCCAGTGCCCGGGCACGGACAGGCCTTGTTACTGTCCCAGTTGCTTCTGGCACAGGCCCACTGTAGCAGAAAAGCCACCATAGACGTTTGAGAGTGAGAGGCTCTCACACAGGGCCCCGTGGACACAGTCAGTGTGGGGACAGTGTGATGGGCAACAGCAAACAGCACAGCTTCTGTTCAGAGGGGATGAGCTGCGTCCCAGCTAGTCCTCTCCACAGGCCAGGCCTCTGGGACCTCACTGTAGGTGACTTCACTTCCCTTCACTCCAGAGAACATGAGAGTCTGAAGCAAATGTGAGGGCGAATGGAAATCAGTGCTTGAATTTGTCTAAGGCATCAAAGTCCTGACATGTGGACTGGAGGCTGGGCACTGTTCCTGATGGGATAGGTAGGAATCATCTAAGTGCACCTTTGAGAAAAGGTTCTCTGTGTGGACACTCCCTGGGCATGTATGTGTGGGCGAGGCCAGGGAAAGATGTCCTCATCTAACCCCATCCCCTCTGTGACAGGAGGCAAGGGGAGCCAGGGGCAGAGGGAAATCAAGTGGAAGTCCATAGGAACAGAGTCCAGAGGGGGCCAACTTGGTCACATGGACACCCAGGGGCTGACTGCAGAGATGATTAAAGCCAAGAATGGACTCAGGAGGCCCAATGTTCGTGGACAGTTGCACTCCCACAGGAACAGGGACCATGAGGTAATCAGATCAAAGGACTCCTCCAAGAATAGGCGCTGTTTTCAAAAGCCCAGACTGTCTACCTGCTGAGGAGAACCAGCAGATCTCAGGCCACCAATGGTTGAAGTGCCCACAGGGACGTAGTATGGGCTGTGACCACTCACCCATCTGAAAGCCACTGGTAGCCAGGACTCCCCGGGGCTGCCGACCGTGAGAATACCTCCACCTTGTTGGCCACCATGAAGGCAGAGTAGAAGCCCACACCAAACTGCCCGATGATCTTGCTACTGGCCTCAGCTTGGTTCTCCAGGGCATCCAGGAAGGCCTGTGGGGAGGGAGGCTAGTCAGGGGGTTCAAATCCACCAGTTATTCTGAGACAAAAAGGTGAACAACAATGTTGGTCTAGAGACTAAGGTGCACCGGATCCAAGTAATGATCTTCTCAATTATTTGCTATGCATCTCAGAGCTGGGCAATGACTAAAGATGACAGAAGAACTGATGCCTTTGAGTTGTGGTGCTGGAGAAGAGTACTGAACATACTATGAACTGCCAAGAGAACAAACAGGTCTGTTTTGGAGAGGGTGAAACCAGTTTTCTCTTTGCAGGCAAGGATTTTGAGGCTCCACTTCATATACTTTGGGCATGTTGCCAGGAGGGACTAGTTCTTAGAGTAGGACGTCATGCTTGCAAGGGTAGAGGATCAGCACAAGACAGGAAGACTCTGGATGAGACAGACTGATATGTGACTGTAGCAATGGGGCCAGGTGCATCAGAGATGGTTAGGCTGGTTCAGGATAGAGCAGGGTTCGGAGCTGTTTTTCATCGGGTGGCTATGGGTCACAGTTGACTCAATAGCACATAACAACAACAACAACAACAAACAGTTAAAAGAATCAATTATTTTGTTCAAGTCATCTATTTATGCTATTTGTTACAGGATCCCTAGATAACCAAAACACATACATTTAGAGAAATACAGGTAGCAGTCACAGAGAAACAAAGACACAGCTGTGGCAAAGAAAAAACCCACCCTTTGTTCATGGGCTGGGAGACTCAACACTATACAAAGGCCAGCCCTGCACAAACTGACGCATGGCTTAATGTGATTTTTCTGACAGTCCCATCCAGGGCTGGTTTGTTTGGAGATACAGGCAAAATTATCCCAAATTTGGAAAAGCAAAGGAATTAAAACATATAAACGATAATAAAGTGAGGAAAAAAGCAGAGAAGAGTCCTCTAGGTGTTTCAAGACTTACAGGGTAGATAAAAACCCCAGATTGTATGGTGTTGGTAGAGAAAAAAACACACTTATTATCAATGAACAGAGCAACCCAAAGCATATGGCTAACAGGTCTACTATCATCCCACAACAGAGTTAATCCACACAGCTCCAAAGAGTCCAGTTTGTGGTCACTATGCATGCTATCTGACAGGAGGGTCAACGACATGTAGCTACTGAGCACTTTAAAGTGTGGCTAATCCAATGGAGACACATTTTTGTTATGTTCCATTGAATCAGAACTGACCCACTGGGGGAGCACTGGTGGCCTTGTGGCAAGAAGCTGCACTGCAATCCCAGAGGAACACGGTTCGAATCCATCAGATGCTCTGCTGGAGAAGGAGGCACAATATCCTCCTGTACCAGTCAGATCTGATTTGACGGTACACGCACACAAAATTTTTTAAAAAAAACAAAAAAAACCTGACCCACTCTCCAGTGGATTTTCAGAGGTTGTAAATCACACTTCAAGAAGATACTGCAACATTTTTCCTACGAAGCAGCTGGTAGATTTGAACTGCATGCCTTTGAGATGACAGCACAACTCATCACTAAGCCACAAGAGCACCCTTGGAGGCACATTTTTAAATGTTGATTTCCATTTATTTAAATATAAACAGCCACATGTTGCTTATTATTGTTGTGACTGCCTTCGAGTTGAGCATGACTCATAGCGACCCTATGAAAAAAATGCATGAAGAATTTCTACAACTATCAACATTTATCAAAGTCCAAAGAGTTTCTGGAGGCATGTTGTTTAGAAAGTGGCTATCATTTTGAGAAACATAGCAAAAATGGGTGAGGAAAAAAAATGGACAATTTTGGCCACATAGTATATTAAGGCAGCTGGAGTAAGATATCACTTTAGGTAGCAAGAGTTGGTTTAATGCATCACATAATGGCTGCTAACTGAAAGGTCAGGGGTCAAGTGAACCAGTATGCAGTGGGGGAAGAGGAGACAGTGTCCAATAGCATTTACAGTCTACAAACCAGATGATGAGCTGGATGCCACTCGATGGCAGTGGATTGGGTTTTCTCCTAAGACAGGAAAGCATTTGGTCACAAAGACAAGCTTGAAGGTGACTGAGGCCAGCAGTCTTTATGTTGGGCCCACAGGAACACAATGGCAAGGGGGGTCCTTGAATTTCCCCTCAGGGCTTTGAAGTTGCCATCCTCATGACTGTATGCCTCACAAAGTAGCTCTGACAAGAATTATCCAGCTTCCAGACATCTTAGTCCAGTGCTGTCTAGGAACGTGGGACCTCGGGGAGAGGAATCCTCAGACCCACTGGCAGGTCGGTTTTTGCGTCAGTTCTGATTCAATGGAACTTAACAAAGCCTCAGGCAGGAAGCTATGCTTGGGGCTCAGGCCGACAAAGTAAGCTGAGCGCCAATACAATGAAGTCACGTAGTGAATCTTTCTCTGGTACTTGGCACACAGCACACATCCGGTGACTCCATCTGTGACTTCTGAATCTAAAGCATGTGGGATTTACTTTTTTTTTTTTTTTTGCATGGCTCTTTTCAATTATTACATGAAAAAAATTACACTAGTCCAAGTTAAAAGTGGACCCCAAATGGTTTTACATGATACAAGCTGTGAAGTTATAAACTTGTGACAAGGGACAGAAGGAAAATTTTCCACTCACTGCAAGGAAATCCTCACTTAAACTTCAGTGAGTCACAAGCACTTAAAACCCATGAACCTTCAGCTGGTTATCCTTAGCCAGAAACTGGCCTATGTTCTTACACTGGTCACCCTGTAGCTGAATTACTTGCCCATACTCTGGATGCTCAATTACAGTACCATTGCAGACAAACTTAAATGCCTTCATTAGTTTCTTTTTATCATTGTCATCAGCGATCCCTTAGACAGTTAGGGTCTTCCTGCCATTTCTCTGTTGAATTCTTACATGGATATAATCCTCAGTCCCAGCAGAAAGCAGGTCATCAACCTAACTTGCATCAACGAAGGGGTCAAGCGAATGGAGGTTCTGGATAGTGGCCAAACGGTCTGTGAAAGGCAGCAGCACGAGAAGGCAGGCAGTGGGGATGGAGCATTGGGAAGCAAGAGGGCTCAGGGGGAGGCAGCTGAGTCCTAGCGGTGGCTCAGTGACTGGGGCTGGAATTTACCTTCTAAGGCCTCATCCCCCCAGCAGCTGAAGCAACCACAGTTCAAGCCAACAAGAAGAGGAAGTTAGGGTGGATGATGCTCACCTTTGATCCAGACCTAGCTATTGTTCCCAGGTTAGACACCAACTCCTCCTGTGTCATCCCGATGCCAGTGTCCTGAGGAGAGAGATTTTCTGAGTGACAGAGCTCTGGGACTGTTGAGCTCATGCCATACACTCATCAGAAAGATCATTTCTCCCCTCAAGTATGAGGCCTGGGAATCATCCCATCTCTTTTAGCCAATGGATAGAAAGGCCACAAGGCCAACAGGAAGATTAGGGAAGAAAGCATTCCTTAGAGCAACCAGACAAGGTTAACAAGGCAACCAGGAGAAAGCTCAGAGGCAGGAAAAGACAGAGTAGCAGGATGAATGGAAGTGAGAACCACAGGAAGTGGGAAGATGTTGTTACGATAGAGAGACTGCAGTTGATGCCATTAAACAAAACCTAGGGCTGAGTGAATGGACAATCAATTGCTCTGTCAACTCTCATGCAAAGTACAATTTTAAAAAATAAACTAACCACCTACTTCCTTCTTTTGGTGGCACTCTCTATGCAATGCAGCAGAGCTGCATCATTTCAGAGACCAACAGCCTTCTAACATATGCTGATAACAGCCAGTGCTGACGTGGACTCTGGAACCTTCAGCACCCAACTGCACCCCTTCTCCTGTAAATGTAAGCCTGTTCTCACACTGACTTGGAACCTGCAGGGACTGTAGCACGTGGGCAGAGCCCGAGACCTCCTGCCTGAAGGGAGGGCCTATCTGACTTCCTCCTGCAACACTGGAAGATCAGCAGCCCATGAATCTGCATCCTGTGACTGGTGTGGGCTTTATGAACACACTGCTCAACACTAACTTCTCAACACTAACTGATGTCGGCTATTCCCAATACCTTACAGCAGCACCATCGAAACTATAACCTTCAGGTTAGTGTGAGGCTGATGTAGGGGAGAAAACACATCCAAGTAGTTCCTCCTCCCTCAGCTCACTGACAGCTTTCCAAGTCATGAAAAATAGAAATCTAAATCCCAGCAGGCTTTAAGAAAAATGCACATGGGTCCAAGATATTGAAGACATATTTGGAGACAGAACAAAACTGGAAAACTTAAGACTACCTAATACCAAGACTTACTGAAGAGCCACCGGTGTTAGGGCAATGTCGTGCTGGGACGCAAGGACAGAACAGCATAGTTACACAGAAAGTGTATCCAGATTCTGCACAGCCTTGCTTTTCTCCAATGTCTGGATGGCTTTGGAGCCTCTGCGCCTTAGAGAAACCCTGCCATGCCACAGTCTCCTCTCCAGACATGATACCCAGCAATGGCTAACCCTGTGCATCAGCACGGCTGGCTAGCAGCTGTGATGAGGCCATCCTCTGACTGTTAACAGGTTGAGGGGCATTTCATGGGGCTGGGGTCTCCCAGAATACAAGGAGGTCTGATAGAACAGCTTGCTTTCTCGGATTTGTCATTCTGCACCTAAAGCCATAGGCCCGAAAGGTGCCAGCCTCTACAAGCCCCTGGGTCATTGCCTTCAGATAAATCTCTTCAGTACTCATGGCCGCTGTCCCCCTGCCCCTCAAGCCAGCCTCTACAGTGAGCAAGGCCAACATCACTGGAGGAGGCCGGGAGACACTACCTGGATGATGATGGTGCCCTTCTCAGAGTCAGTCTGCAGGTGGATCTCCATCTCTGGCAGTGCCTGGCCATCACGCACCAGCTGGTGACGCAGTTTCTCGAGAGCATCACTGCTATTAGAGATGAGCTCCCGGATGAACACCTGCAGGATGGGAGTGAGGCAAAGATATCAGAGTGTGCAACTTACCCGCTGTACTGCACCTGCTACAGCTGTCAAAACAGAAGCCCTGGTGCATGATGCACCTACCCGCTGTGCTGCACCTGTAAAAGCTGTCATGACAGGAGCCCTTGTGGTGCGGAGCATGATGCATTTACCCTCTGTGCTGCACCTGCTACAGGTGGCAGCAGACTACTGAAGCCCTAATGGTGCAGTGCACAATGCACCAGCCTGCTAACCAAAACATCTGCTTTTTGAATCTAAGTTCAAGTCCATCAGCAGCTCTGGAAGAGAGAGATGAGCAGTATCCTATAAGAATCCAGAGCCTCAGACACCCAAAGGAGAGTCACCACAAGTCGGAACCAACTTGCAAGCAGTAGGTTTGGTTTTCTTTGGGTCAAAAGTCAGTGAACTGACAAAAGTTCAGTTCTCCAGACACAAAGCTTCTTCAATTCCTCCCAAGGTACAGAGCCTGCTTGCCTGGGGCTGGCTGTAAAATAACACACCTGCACATGAGTTCCCCTAGAAAGGCAAGCCTAATAATCTGATCTGTGAACTTGACTGAAAAGGGAGCCTTTTGAGTGACTGGTTTGACCTCCAACTCTCACACAAATGACCCACACCCAGCAAGCTGATTCCAGCTCCTACTGACCCCCAGGGTATGGTGGATGCTCTGTACAGCCCAAGGAGCTGCTGGAGGGCTTCAAATGTAAGCCTTTGGTCCAGTGTTTAAGCACTGGGCCACAGCACCACCAAGGCTCCTAACTCTAGCACCGGGACAACTGTCTGCTCTCCTACACCAAAGACATTCACTGGCTTCATTTAATCCAGGTGGATCATCAAGAACAAGACCCTTAGGGAGCTCTGGTGGTCTAGTGGCCAAAAGCTGCATTGCAATGCCAAAGGCAAGCAGTTCAAATCCACCAGAGACCCCACTAGAGAAGGATGGGCAAGCTCCTCCTGTACCAGTCAGATCTGATTCGATGGTACACACACAAAATTTAAAAAAAAAAAAATTAAATAAAGAACAAGACCCTTATTCAGGGAGGAAGAGGGGCTACATAACTGCTACCTTATTTACATCAGAAAGCACTGCACCTCAAATAAAGTTTCTACCTTAAGAAGAGTGATAGCTCCCAGCTAAGAGGTAGGGAGCAAGGTGAGTTTGAACTTGGTAGTCAGAGATGAAGGAACCAAGAATTTACCAGCCCACAGGTTGCTCAGATCTCCTGAAAAGTTCCTTTCTTCTGTCACTGTGCATTATCCTTCTTTGCAGTCTACGAACTTATTGTTATAAAATAAAGCAATGATGCCTGTTTTTCTTGTTATGTCATCACTAATTAATTTTTTGTGTGTGTACCGTCAAATCGGATCTGACTGGTACGTACAGAAGGAGATTGTCCCTCCTTCTCCAGCAGAGCATCTGGTGGATTCGAACCACATACCTCTGAGGTTACCGTATTTTTTTTTTGGAACAGTGATTTTAACAAAAGTTTTCAGAAAAGTTGGATTTCCATTTATTCACTGTTACACATTCTCCTTCCTACCACTAAATGATTTTGAATGTTTGTCACAGAAAATGGCTCTTAGACACCCTTTAAGCATAGAACTGAACTCTCCTTCAAGGTCAACTTCCAATCAAACAACAGATAAATCTCTTAAGTGAACAATATTACTTACGAGGAATATGCTGCTCAGACAGTTAACCACATGAGGCAAAAATGCCAGTATTTGCCCCAATACCAAGCTTAGAAGGCAGGAAAGGAGGAAAAATAGGTATGGGAACCCAGGCAGGAAGTGGGAAGGGTTGCTACACTGATGGAACTATAATCAATGTCATGAAACAAAATGTGCATGAACTAGAGTGGAAAACTAATGGGTTCCACAAACTCTGAGCCAGACCACAACTGTAAAAACTGTTCGGCTGTCACTCCTCAGTGTTCTCAAGGTTCCTGGGTGATGATACTGGGCTACGACCAAGGGCTTACATATAGCAGAGACTGTGAGAACAGTCCTGGCCCAAGCAGGGGTTTGTTGTGCTTTATGCAGGGTCAGCATTGAATGGACAGCATCTAACCATTACCACAACATGCCAGGTGGAGGGATGAGTAAAGACAGGGTCTCTGTGCATGCCTGCCAGGGCTTTTCTCATTCCACAGAAATGGGTCTCAGGAGGACCACAGATCAATACCTAAGGAAGGGACTTCAGTTATCAACAAAAGCCAACTAATTCCCAGAAATTTTAAAACTAAGCTTCTAGATGTTAGCTGCAGTTTTTGCAACATTTCTAACTGTCAAATTATTTTGTCTTCAATGGTATTTATTTACTGCTCAACTGTATTTACAACTTTCACATTCATGAGACAAGTGAAAATACCATGGCTGGGCAAAGCATGGAAGTCTGGTAGCCTAGTGAGTAAGGGGCTACACTGTCAATCCAAAGGAACACAGTTCGAATCCACCAGATGCTCTGCAGGAGAAAAACGGGCTGTCTCTTCCTGTGTAATGTATAGCCCTTTTCTGGAAACCTGCTGGAGGGCCAGCCTGGAATTGGTTCTAATACAACAGCACAAAGTAACACTGGGCAAAGAATGCTGAGTATATCAGACTACCAAAAGGACAAACTTGTCTTTTGTTTGTTGAAAAAGTGAATCCAGAGTGCTCCTTGGTTTAGCCTCACACACTCTGGGCATATTGTCAGGAGAAGCTGGCCCTGGGGAGGAAATCATGTTTGTAAAAGCAAGGGTTCAGTGACAGAGATGAAGACCCTCTACATGATGGACAGACATGGTGGCTTTGGCAGTACACTCAGCAAAGACTCTGAGGACAGCATAGGACTAGACAGGGCTTTGTACCTTTGTACAATAGGTCCAAGGAGCTGACTCTAAGACAATGGCACCTAACCACAATATTCTGTCAGTCTGGCCTCAAGATTCTTCTGAATATATTTAACCATGAAACTAGAAACAGATTTTGTTTCAGGTTTTGTTTTGTTTTTGCAAAACCCTCTCCCTGGGGCATAGATCAGACCTGTATAAACCTGCTATGTGCTCACAGTGAATACACCATCACACAGGCTGGCCTTTCTCCCTAACACCATCAGGACACTCTGTCAAAGAAACCGGGCCCTGGGCATGGCTGGGTATGTCATACCTCTTTTTCAGAATACAAGGAGCGGGCAACAATGTCCAGAAGCTTTTTGGTCTCAGCCTGGAACTCATGCTTGGAAGTGGCACCTGGTCATTTAAGCACAGACACAGCCAGTGAGGTTTAGCATTTAGCCCTGGGAAGGTGTGTGCTATGAAACAACAAAGAGAATTTCTCAGGTTAGGAGTTTTAAACACAAATTGGGGGGAAAGATAGTTAAAAAAAAAAGAAAGAAGAAGAAATTATTTCAGAGAACCTCAGGTAAGAAGTCTTGGGAACAAATGAAAACAGGTGTCTGTGTTGCAAAATCCGGTGCCAACTAAGTAAATTGTATAAACACAAAGTTCATATTAAAAAAAAACAAACCAAAACCCACAATGTACAGATATTATTGAATAAAATAAAATGTACACAAATGAAACAATGTCTATGAATGAGTATATAAAACTAATGATGCTATAATTTTAAAGTTATTTTTTAAATTATTTTAATAAATGTTTTAAATTTTAAAAATTATTTTACGCACAACCCTAGTGCCCATCAACAAATGAATGGACAGAGCAGCTCTGGTACAGTCACACAATGGAATACTACATAGTATTGGAAAAGAACTCATGAAATAGTATACAAAATGGGTGACCCTAGAGGACATTATGCCGAGTGAAATATCTCAGTCACCAAAGGACAAATATTACATAGGGCCACTGCTGTAAAATGGGAATAACATCGGGGTTGAGGATACACTGAGAAAGAAGGGATAAAAAATGTATACTGCATTGAAACAGATGAAGGTAAGAACTGTTTAAAAGGGATATATGATTAGGTATTATTGTCATAACAGGAGTCCAGAATGAAGGCTGCACAGTGGAGGGACTGGTAACAATGAAAGAACTTTTGTTTGACTTTTCAAAGAGAAGAGCGAACTGGGGGGAGAGGGTAGACAGGGAGAAAAGTGCAACAATGAATGAATGGGAACCCTAAGTCTCTGTAAATTTTCATCAAAATAAATAAAAAGAAAAAACCCTATTTTAATAAAAAATTTAAAAAATAATCTGGTGCCAGCGTCCTACAAGACAAAACCCCCTGGGAGAGCCTCAGGTGGGCTGGCCTAAACAACCAGAACCCACTGTTTTCGTGACAATTCCTCAACAGCAGCCTACATTTGATTTCTGAGGTCATAAATGCACATCGGAGGAGACTACCCATCTTCCTACCAAAGAGAGGCTGGCAGGTCCACACTGCTACCTTTCAGTTAGCAGCTTAATCTACAACACACTACGTCACCAGGGGACCTTCCAATAATCAGGTCTGGACTATATTCTTCAAAAAGCAGTTGACTAATTTACTGAAAAGAGAGGGCAAAGAAATCACATCCACACTCTTCTTAAGTCAATGTGAAAGATTCTTTTCTGTCTGCTTCACTTAAAAGCCAGCAATGGAACCATTTCGGGTCTGGCTCTGCAGATCGCTGTGGCCAGGCATCTGATCCCATGCAGGCTGGCCCAACCAAGAGCAGGCCATTTGATTGTTTGCAGATGTGCCCAGATGTAGCCCTCAGAGAGGCTGCATTATGCCACACTCGACCATCAGGGGGCAGGAGACTCACTGGGATGGAATGCAACATCCTGGCTAAGTCAGAAATGGAGGACGCAAGGTTGTGGGGATCACAATCACATGGAGATGTTGCAAGCCTTGAGGACTTCTTTCTGGCTTAAAACTCGCCCCGATGAACACAGAACCACAAATGACCACAGAAGACTAAACCATGGGCCAATGAGTTACCCTGCATGGTCTCTGTGCTGTTGATGATAGAGTGCAGGGCTTCCTCCTCCTTGTTCTCTGCAGCCTGGGTGCTGTATGTCCGTGCCACGGGGATACTGGCTGTGGCTAGCTTTCCACAGGAACTCTCTAGCTGGACTGTAGTCCTCCAAAAAGAACGGGCTGGTCTTCCTGTGAAAGACAACAGGCAAAAAAAGACAATAGATCAAACATCAGAGGCAGAGTCTCCTAAGTTGCTCACATCTGATTTTTTTGGCAAAAACCAATGTAGATTTTCTGTCAGGCAGGCTGTTGCTTAGTAGACATAACATTGCCCATGAGAAATCAAAAGGGTCTTCTCTGTGGATAGGTGACTGATGAAGCATGTTTGTGAGTGTACCTGTCATTGTTCACTCTGTGTGTGTTCATATTTTATATTTATATATGTATATATATACACACACATACATATATTGTTGTTGTTGCTGTTGATTGCCTTCAAGTCAAGCACAACTCATAGCGACCCTATAAACAAAAGGCCTGAAGCCTCTCTACAACTATCAACATTTACCAAAGTTCAGTTTCTGGAGGCTTGTTATTTAGGAAATGGATGCCACTCCTACTTCCAAACCTGTCTTAGAATATTATTGTTTTTATATGCCATTGAGTCACCTGTGTAGCCACCGCTACCTATGTTGCAGCTCTGAACCCTTCCTTGTCCTGAGCCACCAACCCCCATTCCCCCAGACACTTTATCAATCCATCTCATCCGGGGTCTTCCTCTCCTGCACTGTCCCTCCACTCTTCTGAGCATGATGTCCTTCTCCAAGGATCTCTCTCGGTCACGTGCCCACAGTAAGTGAGGCAGAGCTTCAAAATCCTAGCCTCCAAGGAGAGACTTGTTTTCTTGGCAATCCATGGTATGTTCTTCTCCAGCACCACAACTCAAAGGCATCTATTTTTTCTTTTGTCTTCCTTAGTCACTGTCCAACTTTCTGAAGCAAAACAAGTAATTTAGAAATCCATGGCCTGGATTTAGGCACACCTCTGTATCTAGACTGACATCGTTGCTCTTCAGCACTTTGGAGAAGTCCATGACAGTAGATTTTCCCAATGCAATTCACTTTTGATTTCCTGACTGCTGGTATTAAGAGTTCTGATTGTGGATCTGAGCAAGCTGTAATTGCTAACAACCTCAATTTCTTCTCCATCTCGTATGATGCTGCCAATTGGCCCAGTGGTGAGAATGTTCTTAAGGTTGACCTTCAACCGTATGAAATTGGCTCAATAGAGCAGGGTTTAGGGCTGACAGCACATAACAGAAACAACATTCTAATACAACTTTCAGAGTCTCTTTTGATATCCATTTTGTTCTTTTCTTTTTAATAAAATTTTTATTTTGTACTGTTTTACTTTGAAAGTACATATGCATTTTTTTTACGCATTGTTTTTAACACCAGATCTTTCCCATTTCCTTTACCTAACCCTCCCTCCACCCATCAAACTGTATGACCCTATGATTAACTCCCTCCAGCCCCACTCACCCTCATCACTCTGCTCCCCCCCACCTTGGATTGTCATATAAATTCTATAATAATGGTCTTATATAATATTTGTCCTTATGGGACTGAGTTAGTTCACTTAACATAATGCACTCCAGTCCCTCCCAAGTCAGGTAGTGATTTACAAAATCATTGCTCCTAGGTGCTGCTTAGTATTCCATTGTGACTATAATTTCTCAATCCATTCAATGTGGTTGGACATTTGGGCTGTTTTCATGTTCTTGCAATGGTGGATAATGCTATGTACATTGATTGGTGGATAAGTCTCTGTGTTCAGTTCTCATTTTCTCGGAGTATATTCTAAGCAGTGGAATAGCTGGGTCATATGGAATTTCTATGTTCAACTTTCTGAGGAAACGCTAAACTACCTTGCAGTGTGGTTGTACCATTTTACAATTCTACCCACAGTGTATAAAAGTTCCTATCTTGTCACATCCTTGCCAACATTTATTACTTGCTGTCCTTTTAAACTTTACCACTTCTACTGGAGAGAGATGGTATCTATGGATTTCATTTGCATCTCTCTTATTGCCAGTGTTTTTGAGCATTTTTTTCATGTGTCTGTTGACTATCTGCATATCATCCTCTGTGAAAATTCCATGTCTTTTGCCCATTTTGTAATTATCAGTCTTTTTCTTGTGGAGGCCTTGTAGGACTCTGTAAACTTTCTTTTATAACCCAACTGTGTAGAGTTATTCAGTTTCCTCATGGGTGGTTTTGTAAGCTTTATCCTTCTGCGGTTATTTCTAGTTTTATGGCATTGTGATCTGAAGATACATTTTATTATTTCAGTTTTTTAATTTGTTGAGGCCTGCTTTGTGTCATAATATGTGACTGATTCTGGAGAATGTACGATGTGCACTTCAGAAGAAAGTGAACTGAGTTTTAGTTGGGTGGAGTGCTCAGAATACATTCACAAGGGCAACCTGGCTGATTGTATAGTTTGGCTCTGCTGCATCTTTAAGTTTCTTTTGCACTGAGTTATCCTTTGGTGATAAGAGGTGTGTTGAAGTCTCCTACCAATATTCTTTCTTCAATACTGCTAACCGTTGTTTTATGTGTTTTGCAGGTCTATCATTTGGTGCGTATATATTGACTAAGGTTATGTCTTTCTGACCTTTTGTATTTTTAATTAGTATATAATACCCTTCCTTATCTTTCATGGTATTTTTCATTCTGAAGTCTCTTTTAACAGAGATTAGTATTGCCACTCCTGCTTTTTTTGTGGTTTATATATACCATTTGCTTGGCATATTTTTTCCCCAGCCTTGAATCTGTCTCTTCTTTTTTAAGATGTGTTTCTTGTAGGCACAATAAGGATGGGTTCTGTTTTTTAATCCATTCTGCTACTCTTTTTTTCTTGATTGGCACATTTAGTTCATTCACATTAATTGTGATTATTGTCAGGCCATGTTTTACTCTTGCCATTTTGCTGTGTTTTTCTGTTGTTTCTGGTTACTATGGTCCATCTACTATCTTTTGACTTCTGTCTGAAGGACTTCACTTAAAATTTATTGTAGTTTTGGTCTTGTTTTCACAAATTCCTTAAGTTCCTTCTTTTCTGCAAAAGATCTACTTTCTCCTTATATTTGATGGAGAGCTTTGCTTGGTATAGGATTTTGTCTGGCAATTGTTTTTTCCCCAAATTTCTGTATATGCCATTCCACTGTCTTCTAACGCATATGGTTTCTGCTGAGAAATCAGAACTTAATCTATTTCCTCTTTGTAGGTGAGTCTTGTTTTTCTCGCAATGCTTTTAGTATTCTATCCTTATGTTCACTATGCTTCTTGAATGTAGGTTTCCTCATTCTTCAAAATACCTGGGAAGTTTTCTTCTAGTACTTCCATAATTTTCTTAGTGACTTCCCTGTCATTCCCATGTTCTGGAATTCCATAGGTATATTGTTCCTTTTGATGTCATCCCACATGATTCTAATGTTTTCTTCATTTTCTTTATATGTCATCTCTGATTTTCATCTATGTTTTCAGGAAGGCTCCTGTCTTCCAGCTCACTGACTCTCTGTTCCAGCTCTTCAGTTTTACTTTTTTTGTCCTAACAGTGTGTGGGACACTTCTGCCATTTTGGTCTTAGTACTCTGGATTCCATTTTCATGCTTTTCTCTTATTTCCAGTACTGTGTTGGCTGTACCCTCTCTACCTTGTGATGATTTTTTTTAAGTTCTTGTGCCTCTTTTTTTTGTGTGCCTCTTTATCTATACTATCAATTCTTCCATTTTTTGCATTTTCTTCCATAGCTATGTGTTTTCTGGAATGCTGTCTCTGAGGTATTTGCTCTCTTTCATTGTTTCCTCTATCATCTGCATCTTCTTCTGTTGCTGTTCAAATAACTCCACATCAACATATTTCTTCTGGTTCTATTTAGGGTATTCACTGGGTGTGTCTTTTTAGGAGAATGTTTGATTTTGGTTTTTTATGATACCTGAGGGAGACTGTTGCTTTCTTGACATTAGGTGAGTCTTTTCTTAGTAGATACTAGGTTGTTGTAACTATATATTATGACCCAGGGTATAGCAATGTTTTGTGAAGGACATGTATATTTGTGCTCCCCTCTTGGGAACTAGAGTCAACCAAGTGTGGGATGACTGTTGCCCTCTTAAAACCATGCCTCCACCCAGCCTAATCTGCTTGAATTTAAGAAATCCCAATGATGTAGCTAGATAGCAGTGGTGGCAGCTGAGTGGTCTCCAGGGGGCAAAGGTGGCAGTCTAGTGCCCTGGACAGAACTGTAGTCTAAAACTGCAGCCCCTCAACCTGGCAGGCAGTAGTTCTGTCACTGGCCATAATGTGGGTGTACCTGTACTTGGTTGAAGCATTTAGCAGATGATAGGGAAATCGTGGCTGGAAGATGCTCTGGGACCACCCATTTCACACAGGCCTTGGTGTTTTGCAGCAGAGTGAAAGTAAGGTCCCCCAGGAGTGGGTCTCACAAAAGGAGCTGATCGTCTCCTTCCTATTTGTCTTTATGACCTTCTGCTTTTTTCATGGATGATATCATTGATGTGATTCTAGAACTCATGTGGTCTTTGATCATTAGTGTTCAATGCATCAAATCTATACTTGAGATGGTTTTGATATTCAGGCAAGATAGACTCAAAGTCCTATTTTGGTTCTTGAGGGCTTGTTTTCATTTTAACTTCAATTTGAACTTAATAAGATGCTAAGGCTCATCATAACACCAGGGCAGGGATGAGGCAGTAGGAGAAAGAAGGACAGGGCCTTGTGGCAATACTTCTCACACAGGTGTGCTACTCAGGTGAGATCTAGTATAGAATCCAGTGGTTGCTGGCTCTGGTTCATAACACCCCTTGTGTGTTGGAGAAGAACCGTGCCCAAATAGGTTTTCAGAAGCACATTACCAAGTTTTATCCCAACCCTCCTATTAGTAGCTAACTCATTTATACCATCTAGGACTTCCTGAATAGAAGGCTAAACCCACTGCTGTCAAGCTGATTCTGACTCGTATAAGTCCTCCATGGAGTCTCCAAGTCTGTAAGCTTTACAGGAGGAGGCTATCCATCCATCGTTGGCTTTTGGGCAGCTGGAGCATGTAGTAAGAGAGCCAATGGAAAAGAGGAAGACTCTCAACAAGATGGACTACAACAATGGGCT